TCGAGCGCTTGATGTGTCTGTGTGTTCCGCCATGTTACCGCACGCGCATTAGTATTAGGATATTAGAAAGGCGGTATGAGATTGTAGCCTGCAACCTATTCGAAATAAAAATGATGCAGGACGTTGATGATTTCATATAGAGTAACAAAACGTCATTCAGCCGTGTCAACATCAAAAGGCCTGGCCTACCTTCACCTTTTACTATCGCAGAACTCAGTAGAACTCACCGCTTCTTTGGCCATAAATATACACGAATTCCGAGCCCTTCCCAGTCCCCTGGCTAGGGACGTCCATTCAGGGTTTGACGTACATAGCGTACGTGAAAAGATGACCAACATTTTGGGGGTGCTGTCTAGGTTACCTTGACACGCTATAGATCAGTGGAGCTATAATAGGGATGCTGTACTTTTTTCGTACTAGAATCGTCTATATTGGCCTTAGATGAATCCCTCTAAATGCAGGGCCCCCGCAGCTCGGAAAGTTGGACAAGTTTGCCATGATCTCGGCGCGCAAGTGGCGTAAAAACTGATGACCCAGAATACACTAGATGCATTGTTGCGGAGCTGCCTTACATGCGTTAAAGTTCCACTTGTCCGTCGATAAGGTAAGGGGCTGATCCTCGATACATACATACGCGTAGACCCAGGCGTACCATAGATAGAACCTAGTCCCCCGTCTCGGCTTCCACACTCTTCGCTACGTCGTCGTAAGCGGCCCGGGTCGCCAAGTCAGAGCTTTCCCGGCCGTTGACAAGGGTTTACACTCGGGGAAAATCCAAGAATGGGTTACCGTCTCCTCCCAGGATTCATGAATAAACGGTCCTCTCCGGGTTGCTGCTCCTGTGGGGGGCATTTGTGGAGGCAACTGGAGAGCCTCAGCACATCATGTCGTGGGAGAATTCAGTCGGTATGTATACGGTGTAAGGGTGTCTAGACAGCAATTGACGTAAGTCAACCCTGGCCCAAAGGAAGATGTGGTTACATACCTAGGTAAACGCAGTCCCTAAGTCACTTGAGTCCACATGTATGTATCAGCTTTGCAGGTTGCATTCGCGTGCGTAGCATCTTCTATGGGACAGTTGGATCATTGGATACCATTGAGAGACGATTATACATACTAGCTATCTGCATTGTATATTAGACTTGGTTTGGCATGGCTTTAGAACGATTACCTGAGAAGGATGCGAATTTCCATGCATGCCACCTTGCAGAGAGATCCATCCTAACGCAGTAGTTCGTGCTTTACTTAAATCATTGGTAAATTCGAGTCCATTCATGAATTTTAATACGCTGAAAGGGTTTTTTCCCTTTTTTTCCTTTTTTTTCCCTTTGACGGTCCGATGGTAAATAGTGTGATGATATGAGGTAGTAGGTATAACTGCATGCTTTCCACATTTCTATGTTGAATTAAAAAGTCCCGAAATAAACTTTACCTAGGTAGGTAATGCTTGAAAATACTTAAACCCCATAATTTAAGCATAGTTAATTTACCATTGGCAAAAGAAATTGGGTGCACACATAAAATAGGCCGGGTTTTAACCGGCAATCACCACGCAGACACCGAAATACTCCATCTTTCATCATCACATCCATAACCACCTAAAGTACCACATATTTTATCTTTTGAATCCATCCCTAGGTATGTATCCTTTCGCATCTGCATTGCTACGCAGCTCATGGATATTATGTACATGTTATTATCAAGCTAATATGCTAATATCCTGTTAGCGTTACTTCAGATACTCTGTTTGGACCATACAGCCCGGCTCGCTGGTCAGGTGAGGAAGATAGCTATCACGCTAATCGATATATGGACGCTTACCGAGAACTTGTTTGCCTAATCGGGGCAACAACGCTTAATGGCCTTTAATGGCCTTTCGAAAGAAGGCTCATTTGCAAGGTGAACCCGAAGTCTCGGGTAATACCAGCCTTTCCTAATACGGTACTTCCCGAGCTATGTGTCAAATCAGGGAACGTCTATCTGCGCAATGTACCTGGATGTACCTTATATGTATATACATAGGTATGTAGGTTATATTGTAAGAAATGCACGTCGCAACATTCCCCAATATCCCAGTATCCCAACATCCGCACGAGTGACACATGTATTAAATCGAGTCCATGTGCAGCCTGCAGGTGCATTAGCGTGCACATAAGGTACCTATCCAACTAGCCAACCCAAGTACCTACATGCAATATACATAAGTGGAAATAATCAAACGATAATACGATCAAGCTTATATTTTCAGATGTTTAACCTAGAATAATACCATCCAACATTTCTTTTCCTTGCATGCCTACAAGGAGGGGCTATGTAACACTCGCACATGTGGCAGTACAATACAGTAGCCACTCTTATACATAGGTAGGTATACACTTACAATCATTTTATAGTGTTCTATCAAGTATACGCGTAACAAAGCATTATACAAGATACCCCCAGTGACCCCCAATATACCGCCTAGACTTTCAGCAAATCCGGAGAAAAACCAATACCGGTAACCCAAGCTACCCTGTATAGCCTACCTCAACCCCTTGAGATGCCAAGCTCCAAAACGAACTTCATCCGTGACAGAAGCGCCACGGTCACTCTTATGCGCCTATAAACCCTTACATACCCCACGCAATATTGTATACTCCACCAATTTCGACATTCATGGCCAAATGGGACTTCTGAGTAATAGTGGTTCGCGTTGTGCTGACGATAGCCAAGCTCAGTGGTTCTTGCTCCAGTTAGTTTGTGGATTCAGTTCCCTTTATATTTCCCATCGACAGAATCTTCATCTAGCTTACGATAAGTGCTTATGGCGGCGGGCATCTTGTCAAATTTGGCGGATCCTTCGGTAGCCTTGGCTAGCTGTGATTTCGTCGTTATACCGAAAGCTCTCTTGAATCCAGGGGGGGGCATTTTGACTCCCAAACAATCATCGGTATAGAGGCTACGCAAGCAACAAAGAACCCGCATGCTATCTCGGCCATTAACCACAATACCAAAGGCGCTAGCGTATACACTTGGCCCTCTGAGTTGTAATGGATAACTGTCGTTGCCAACCTCGCCGCGGCTGAGACGCAAGCACTATTGTATCCCTAGCATTAGCTTATTAATCAAGTTAGGCAATGATAGGAGGTCTAGATCATGGACTTACAGCAAACCCATACCGAATATCATCGAGATGTCGAATCTATTTTGCCACATCATCTGGGGCCCCCAAATTATGTGTTGCGGCCGCGAGGAGATAGTAACGACAGACGCTAGTTAGATAAGTGCTAATAAGACTTTGAACGCTGTAAAGGGGAAAGCACTTATGATCAACAATAGCGATATCCCAGATGGCCGGACAAAAGTATCCCACCAGAAGTCATTCGTCGACCGGCTCCCCCTAGACACGACGATTCGACACCATTCAACCAGGATAGCCGGTTTTAGACACGACATCACAAATGAATAGCAAATACCGAAGATGAGAGTCTACTGAGTGAGAGTCGGTTGTTATTTTGCCTCAGACTTCAAGGATCTTTTACATACCTAGGTTGTTTGTATAAGATCCCGTAGACGAATATCTCACTAGTACTTAAAATACATAGCCTAGTGACTCAATCATGGCAATTACTAGATGAGCTGTTCCCCAGTAGAAGCTTTAGGTTCTATAAAGTTAATGATACAGCTATAGGAATTCATCTTCGACTAGTTCATAAGGCAAGCAGCCAATGTAAGCAATAAAGATAGCAATTAATACTAAGATTGCCAATATGTTAACAACCATCAATATAAGATATGTTCTTCCAAGAGAACCCTATCCTAAGAAAAGAAAGTTATAAACGGAGAATAGGTAGGTATTCAATATTAGCATAACACGATCCAGGCAAGCTGATTACCTATTATTTAGAGAGTTGCTTAGATTAACTAGAAGAACTAGAAGTCATGCCAAGCGGCAGTTTAAGGGGAGGTCCATTAATATTCATAACTGAGTTCTTGTACGAGCGATTCCCCGGCTTCTTCTCCGTGTACTTTTTTATTTGATCGTCTCCACTCTAATATAAATAATAGCTACAGTTTCAATCCCAAGAAAGCGCAGACGCACGAGTTAGCACGAACCTAACCCTTACGCATATTTCATATTCAAGCATGTAAAGAGAAAAGAGTTTTGATTGACGAACAATTACGATACTCGTAAATATTCGTACTTTCAACCTCTTACAAATTCAGATTGCGATGTTTTAAACAACCTGAACAGGGGTCTTCGGCGATGGATCCTGAATTTTGAAATTCGTCGAATCAAATGCAACAAGCTGGCTATAATTCTCCATTCGCTACCAAACTCGGGTTAAGTTCAGGACACACTACTTTCACATTGCGGAAATGTCGTCCAAAAAATTATGGGATATATAATTCTCTTGATGCCCATCACCGAAGTCGTCAAAAAAGAAGACTTCCTTCAACTCTCTCGACATTTTTCAAAGTTCGCGACACGCTGCCCCCGGCAATTGTACGGTGAGAGATGGCTAGGCACCCCCGGACGATCAAAGCTATGATGGGATCACAATACCGCCTCGCTGAGCGGGAAGTGGGCCAGATGGGTTGGCTGAAGGGAGCTCTATCCTTGGCTTAGTCAAGACTTTGCACTTCTTGCCCCTATTAAGTTATTAAGCCACATCCGCGGACTTCTTCCATCACAGGAACTTTTCTTACGCGCCGCAAAGAATGCTGTCAAAAATTAACTACCCCATTCGAGCCACCACAGTATGGGTAATGTGTTTTTGACGGCATTCTGCCGCACAAGCAATTTCTTGCTACAGTCATACGGCATTTATCCGACTTATATAAGCTCGTATAAACCCCCTGATCGATAGTATGTAACGGAAAGGATTTCATTATCTTTAGCGACGTGAAAACTGGAGTCGTAGTTATATTACACTAGCCAGGTTCTCGAGAAATAGGCAAAATCAACCCATTCGGACAATTTTGATACTTGTGGTGTGAAGCCTATTTGTTTACACGTTCCCACAAGCTATTTTTCTCCTATCTGCTCTCAGCCCGTTTACTGTACCTGCAGATACTGCATATTAGTTCCGGTTTGTTTGACAAATCATTCATCAAATCACACCTACCTACTCTCTGCAGTGCAACCATGCCAAAGCAAGACATTTACCAACTTCACCCAAACGGCTGGGAGAGCGACACAGAAGTAGAAATTCGCAAAGTAACCACACTCGACTATTTGGCAGCCTGCGTCTATACGAACTATGCTGCTTTCTTTAAGTTGGATGATGATAAGAAGCAATTGGCTGCTTCTACGCTGAAGGCTGGCCTCGAGCGGACTATTACGCAAATTAGACATATTATCGGCACGATTGAGAAGGATGAAGAGAAGGGTGGTCACGTGTTCATCAAGAAGAAGGATAGCACAGTCCCTTTCCATGTCCAATGGCTCGACTCGCCTGAGGATAAAGATAAATACCCGTCCTTCGATGATCTCGAAAAGGCTAATTTTGGGTCGGTGGCCATGGGCGACCTCAAGATTTGGAGTGTCGAACCCATGACATACGGGGAGAAGCCAGAGGCACACCCTGACAACCACCCCGTCATTGCAGGCTTCAAGGCTAATTTCATTCGTGGTGGCCTAGTCCTCAATATGCACTTTCATCATTACGCCTGCGATGTGATGGGCATGTCTGGATTTGTAGAGCAATTGGCTGACAATTGCTACGCTATCGTGAATAACACTCCATTTCCTCCTTGGAGCGATAGCCACTTTGGCGTTCCGCACTTTATCAAAGATCTACCTCCTGAAGACCAGATGGTAGACGGCCCTGCCCAGCCCCAGCGTCACCCAGATCACATTGGGGCTACGATGTACCTGTTTCACCTACCTAAGAGCAAGGCAGCAGAGTTGAAGAAGCTAGCTAGTCCGGACGACGGTACTTGGATCTCAACGTATGATGCCTTCATAGCGTTCCTCTTTCGTACGACGACCCGGCTTCGCGCTCCCTTCTTTAAGCCAGATATGTCATCGAATGTCGCCTGGGCTCAATCAATGGATATGCGCAGACGGCTTCATACCCCAAAGTGTCCACCCCGCATGCAAGGAAATGTGTACTTCGTGGCATCAACCACAATGACTAATGTCCAACAGCCAACTGTTGCGCAGATCGTTTCAGAATGGCCCTTGTCCAGGCTGGCGCAATACATCCGTCAGATGACCGACGAAGTAACCCAGGAACGCGTGGACGAAGTGCTTAACCAGCTAGCGCCGATACGTGACAAGCCGGCCTTGATGACCCGCACAGATTCGTTTCCACCATTGTCAAACCTCCAGACTGACCATCGTGACGTCAAGGTCACTCTGTGCGATTTTGGATTTGGCAAACCGATCGGGTATCGACATGTCATAGATGTGGTTACTGAGAACCTCACATTTGTATACCCGCCGCGCGACAGGTCCCCTGAATCAGACGAGGGTCCTGAGCTTAGCATCTCGTACGAGACCATATTAGCTGATGGGCTAATCAACGACCCTGAATGGAACAAGTATTTCGAATACAGGGGAATCGACTGCGTTCACACCGGACAGCACCACTAGCTAATCTAGCCAGGGGTTGTGATGTTAGGGGCATTCTGAGCGTACATAGCGCAAAACTTAGACTTATGAGACTTACGAGACTTATGTTAGTTAGGTTAGGTACCTAGACATGTAATTAGTAGTTAGATCTGGTTCTTACATACATACACATGTAGTTAGATATTTCCATAACGTAGCGTATTTTGCCAATTTACCAATCTTGAGATTCGATCCCCTCACATTTACCCTCACATTCAACGTGAACGGGTTTACATACACGCAGACACGTTAGCTGTCTCGAGCTCCGCCCTTTGAGCGGTGAGATATGCTTGGCTACTGTCGAAGCCAAAATAAAACCTCGTCCTCATAATCATCCCATAAATCTGGGTCTAATAGCTAAATTCCTCCCAATTAAACTATCACGGAGAGAAATATCGCTTCAGCTCATCCACTGTAAATCCAGATTCTTCTTTGAAACGATCCTTTCCGTTTCAGGCTAGCCCATCCATAACGGTGGTTTGCGGATGAGACTGGATCGTCAGATTCCTGGCCCCAGTAAGTACATTTTACATATCCGTCTGGGGCCAGATCTACACTACCTTTGTGCTATTAACCAATCGTGTATAAGTTGGCATTGTAGTGCCGCTAGTATAAAGCGGTGTATAATCATCACGTAGTATTATAAGCACATCAGAGCCTCATAGTCGACAGTTTGGAATTTAGAGGTTACATTGACGTAAAAGCTATCATGTGGCAAGGTAAATAAGAGGAGGCGGCGAGGTTACTTAATTCGTGATCGTATAACTAGAGCAATTTGCGAGGATAATGGCGGTCGGCATAGCTGCATGGTTATCACATGGATAGCCAGGCATATTTTCGAAAATTATGACCAAAGTTGCATGTATGTACAGGCCGAAGTAGCCGGTTATTCCAAATCCTAACCATCCCGCGCAGGCGAGGGTCATAACCAACAGACTCGGCCCAGCCCGATGCTACGTTTCGGTTATCTAAGATTTCATACGATTGCGCACACCCATGTATATGGCAAGTACCTCTTATAACGATGGCCAACTTGAACTCGAGCGTTAGTTACACCATTAATACCAAGGTTCCTATCCTGCATATGTATAATGGTAGAGCGGCATATTCCCGCGCAAGTATCTCGAAGGAGGAGATGCGATAGTATTAAAGGCCGAAGCCCGAATTCAAGCCAGGGCCGTATGTATGTATGCATTTACATTCGCATGTCAGCGGTGAGTATTAATTGCACTTATAATTACTAGGAATGTGAGGGGGCGTGAGATCCATCTAACCGCGCCAACAGTATCGTGGGGAAGCTTTAAATATGAGCTACATAGTACATACTAGGTATGGATATAACTACATACCTATTATTACACAGTACGAGATCATGAAAATAAATAGAACTTTTTATATTGTTCCTCCATAAGACCCTTGCTTAACTGCAACCTCCTCCCTTGTCAGGTCTGTATTACTAGGATGCTTACCCACCCCAACGAACATCTCTAGAAACAATACATACATGTAGCGAGCAACAAGCAACGCACAGTGTCAGAGAGCTGTCTCCTAAAACACAGACATATACTCCACTTAGAAAATACTCAATATATGTTACATCTATGTAGCTTGCGCTTAGTAAAACAATCAATTCAGTTTCATCATAAGGTAACTCTGAACCTACAAACCAAATATACGCCCTACCATCGTAAAAAGTACCTAAGGTATGGTTAAGGTATGGTTTGGTTTTCCCCTTATAACCCTAACTATCGAAAAATCAATCATAACTTCTACTTGCTCAGGAGCTGACGTTCCGGCGCGTTAGAGAACCTTGCTCTAGGTGTCTGTTAAATAAACCCCAAGCGGAGAACATATCGTGATGCCTCCATTGGCATCATGGGCTTACTCAGTTGGATACCTGAAGATAAAACTGATATATACCAATAGGTTCTTTCAAGCCTTAAATACTTCACAAACCCGTCGTCATCCTTCCGAACCCACGTCTCGAAGTAATACCCCCGCCTGTCCCCTGCTTTTCGTTCACTGCGACCCGCCAAATGACGCCTTCACCTTATCAGGGCTGACCTGCTCGAAGGCCGAAGAGCCTATGGAATGTATACTCTGGTACTGGCCTAATATCTTTTCGTAGTAGGTTGCAAACTCATCACTCGTAGGCCAACTCCAGTCAATCCCGTCGCTCCCCAATAAAGGCCCGACGATATCAAAGTATGAAAAGGTAGCATCGAGCAGGGCCACGTTCTCAAAAAAGGTGCCATCGGCTAGTATCAGCACACAGGCAATAGTGCAACTTCTTTGCCGCGGATGATGTCCGCGACTCTTGGATCAACTGCCATGCCGACGTGGAAATAAGGGCCTGTAGTGCCGAACCAAATCGTGAACCGGTACAAACACGTCGTGGAGGCTAGCTGGAATAAGCATAGACTTGAGCAAGGGTTTGGCAAGGTAAAAGCCGGGACTAACTACCTCGGTAGGTACCTTGGGTAGGTACCTAGGTATGATAGCTACACGTTTAGGTACGAGGCTGAATTGAATAAGGCTGGTTCAGCGTAGACGAGCAAGGCAGGTTTTGAAATCTGAGAGACGATGCCTACTCAATTGAGACTAATACGACCTCTGAATCACTTGTTCTTACCTAAATTTTTCATGTCGAACCCAATTCCCAGCTACGGATATTTGAATTGAAATAACAGCGATTGAAGCTACTGCGCAAAAAAATGAAGCTATTTACTGTCTGCAGAAACTGATGTGGATTAAAGAATGGAAAGGAGGGGTAAATGGTAACGCAGCGTAGCATCGGGTCAGGACCCCTGAAATAGCGTTGTTCTACATACCTACGTACCTACGTACCGTATCGTACCCTCAACTTAGACTAATTGCTTTAGGTAATCGTGTAACAAGTCTTTCAATAAGGTAACAGACGTGTCATACTTTTTCTTTTTTCTTTTCCTTATGGACTACTCCTAAATATAGAATATACAAACATTTAACTAAGTACCTAAGTATCAAGGTAGTATACTAAACTCAACTTTATATTACATAACTAGGTACCTAAACTAATGTAGTTATAACTAACTACTCTAAAAAGGGAGAAATCTCCAAACTCGACTTGTTCTAGTCAGGTAACTACCTAACTACACTATCACCATACCTATGCCACTATATGCAAAAGCAGACAAGCTCACACGTACCTAGTAGATAATGAATCCCTCGGCTATCTGATTTATAAGTTACGGCCCGATCGGCAACGACGGACAATCACCTTGCTGGGTATGTATATCCCAAGTGGACGACGATGCAACCTAGTATAAGCCTAGGCAAGCTAGGTATACATGCAAGCAAGTGGTTCTTTAACCACCAACGATCTCGGCATCGTTGGAAATTGGCTCGTCTAAGGACCCCCAACTATGCAGGCCTTGGAGAAAAGCTGTTGATCCGCAATCGAAAACATCTCAAGTACTGGCTGCACTGCTTTGGTACCCTGCTGGTCGTTCCGGTCAAGAAATTATCGGCCGATAGTCCTGGACTAGGATCACTACATACACGCACACATATGTACCCGGACATACATAGTACATACATCAGGCACATGTAAGGTATGTATACACGCACGGAGTATCAGCTGTCTGCTCTCCTGTGCTTTTCTCCGCGGCCGTCCTGCCGTCCAAATAGCTGGGTCCTCCAGAGTCCCACATCTCTAGCTGTTCGAATTTCAACCCACCCGCGCACGCTGTCACCGATCTTTGAGGAGCTCGTGCGTCACCCATGGCCTCCTGTGTGTTGACCCAGAGCTTTTTCTGGAATATGCTTCGCTGGGGCTACTTAGAACGGACGTTAGTGGGATGTTGTGGCGCGCGTGTTAGTGATGGTGCTGCAGATGGTTAAAGCAGCAACTCTGCCATGAGGAATAGACGCGTATACGAGTAACAGTACTGGATTAATTCGTGTATAGCCAGGTTAGGTAAGGGTTGCATCTGTGTATATATTGACTTGCCACAATCGTAACATCCCTTTAACTTTAGGACGCTACGGATATGCATTCTTAGGTACCTGAGTGCATACCCGTAGCGTCCTAAAGTTAAAGGGATGTTACGATTGTGGCAAGTCAATATACAGATACCTAGGTAGGGATAGACCGATAGGCGCTTTTTGGAAGACCCGTTGATAAAGTGATTGCTTGTTGATAACTTGGGTTTAGCATTACCTACGTGGTACGATGTGATATGTTGGTGATAAAGACAAAGATATAGAGACTTGAATAGTCAGAAGTAAAATCCAGCTCATCCTTCCCCGCCAAGAGTTCTGTTTCAATAGAACCGGTGCACGTGTTCTATTGAAGAACTTTAACTTAAGTTTAAGTCTAATCTTAATAGACCTAATAAACTAATTGCAGTATAATCGAATGATATACTTTCTTAAAAAAAGGCTTAAGGAACTAAGCCCTTAATAAAGAGGCTAACTCAATCACCTTTGTTTTAATCTAGCAGGACAGGTTGTAGACATTAAGATTTTACTATTTATTATTATAAAAGGAAGTATATTATCCTCCCGACATATAAGACTATAGGCCGTAGTATTCGACTATATTCAACTGTGAAATGATTTCTAGCGCACTTTCTGATCAAAGTTTTCGAGATGGCAACGTTGAAAACACCCCAATTTCAACTAGACTTTCAATTAGAGTATGGCTATTATGTTGTTTGCTATCAATGATACACGTGATGACTATATTACTCGTCATCTGTTACAAGCCCTTGACAATCAAATAATATTTTGCTCATCTTGGATACTACGTGACGTGTTCCGAATATGGTTGTTGCTGTTAGCTTGAAGGGTAGGATGCAATTAGGCTTCCATTCTCTCCTGAGAACCAACTCATACGATGAAATGTGATTAATCACAGTACCCCTGAGCCGCGAGCCCTTTCCGCATCTCGGGAATCTGTCCAAAACGTTGTGACGGGAAAATCCCTGTAGGACTTTACCCGTTGCCATGGTTCTGGGTATGTTGGTACTGGAAAATCCTCCTGGATTGCATTTACAGTATAAACTATATCTTAGCTACATTGCTACAATGTCCTGATGCCAAATTGGTCATGTAAATGTTCAGCTCTTGAAGAATGACCATATGAAGTTCCGTCTTCCTGGTGAGATTAGTGTACCTCCCATATATTACTGGGCCTACCTTCGTGATTGTTATAAGCATGCGCATTTACATATTTGTTTACCATGTAGAAAGACCGAGAAAGGAGAGGGAAATATACCAGTCCGTTGCTTACCAGCTCCTACAATGATTTGCCCTTGTAGGTATGGGGTGTAGCTATGGATCAACTACGAAACTACGAAGGATTATCGATGTAAGGTCTAGGAAATAGTTCCAACATCACTTTTTTTTTCTGGCAGTGCATAGCCATTTATCTTGCCCCTAATCTATTGCACCGCTTGAATCTCCCAATAAACTTTATTGCGAAGGCATGTAATGTCGGAAGCTACCCGGAAGCAAACACAATTTTCATCGTGGAGTTGAAACCGGTACATTACACTAGTCTTCGAAGACCTATCGCAAGGGATAAGGATGGGCAACGACTTTCATGCCTGCAGGAGGAAAGGTTTTGTTGTTTGCTTGAGCGATCTAAATTGAACTTCGTAGCCCCTTGCTGGAAAGCACAATAACTGAAGAAACGTGGGATATTTTCTAGATCACAAGACACTTGATCATGGGGAATCCCAATAGTATTGGGAAGTCAAGTCAGTAAATCGAGTGTCCATGAATCTCTATTTCGTAAAGAATAGTAAAAGCTAATAAGAATAAAAGTATGTAGAAGACAGTAGTGTCCAAATATGTCGGCCAAGTGCCGATGCCAAAGAATGTTACAGAAGTGAAGGTGTCAAAATGGACCAGATGCTTTAATAGCCGCTCGACCGGTAGACGTCTATGAATTCCCCAAACCAATCGTTCATCAGTAAGTCATCCCCCATGCAAGTGTAAGATTCGTTGCAAGTTTTCATCTCAAACAGCGGTGCAGAGCAGAGCATCACCAATCAGAGGCAGGACGCAGCACTCAGCCGTCAGGCCATTGTCTGCGCAAGAACCTACGAATTCCTCAATAGAGTTGAGGTCGCGAGCGGCTGTGGAATGTCAGTATAGTGTTGCATGAACTAGCAATAGGGTCATTTAAACTTACGGCTCCCGCAAGTAAGGTCGAGGATGCCATCGATGTCAACTTGGCAACAGAGAGGCTGTGATAGAGGTTAGCAGTTATTTCCCTCGTTGAGAAAATTCTGAAAGCAGAGTCATTTTGCGCATTTAACCTCCTGGAAGAGTTTGGTCTGGGGTTCATAACCGGCAAACCAATGTCATGAAGAGGAAAGCAGAAATAATAGAAGGGCTCGATGTCACATACAGTGTTACCTAAAGGGCAGATTCTTGCGAGGCCACCTAAGCCACCCTCGCTACCCCAACCGTCATTGCCACCCTGAGGTTGAGAGCTAGCAGCAGGGTATCCAGGATATGTCGGGGTGCTTGCTGGGTACTTGGTTGGATACTCGCCCCTCTTGCTCTCCTTCGAATGATGCTTTTCCTTAGCATGCTCCTTAGAATGCTTGGTCTTCTCATGCTTGTGAGAAGACTTGGTCTTTGTTGGCTTCTCCTTGTGTTCCTTGTGCTTCTGAGTTGTGGTCGAGTGGTGAGTTTCGGGAGTAGAGGTTGGGTACTGAGCCTTCTTCTCTGTGGTCGTGATGTAGTGGGTTTCCATGGTGGACGTTGGGTACTGGGGCTTTGGCTTAGAAGTCGGGTACTCCATTTTCTTCTCCGTGGTTGTCGGATATTGTGCTACCGGAGTGGAGGCCGGATACTGAACCTTCTTCTCGGTAGTTGTAGGGTAGTGATGTTCCGGGGTAGATGTAGGGTAATGAGCCTTCTGGGTGGTAGTTGGGTACTTGGCCTCTGGGGTAGAAGTCTTGTAGTTGGGGTTGGCTACCGGGCTAGCAGTGGCTACGGCAGCGAGAACCACAGGGAGGAAATTCTTGATCTGCATCTTGATATTTGTTTTGACACGAGTGTGATAAGTAACGAGCGACTGTGTAACGAGCGACTATTTATTCGGATGAACAAGATGGTGTGAAAGATGTAGAAGGTGATGCGAATTTGAATAGCGAGTATATGTCACAGAGAACGGGACCCAAGTGACTTCTTATAAGCTACCATCATCATGGGAATCTTACATCTCCCGTTGAAGTTCCGAGATACGACCCTGCAGTAGGGGGTTGGATCCTGTGAGTTGTAGATCGTGTCCCAATAGCTTGCACGCTAGTTTGAGGCTGCATCTAAAATATCACTTATGATTCAGCCTTGTAGTTGGTGTTTCACGCATGTCCTGACCATTCATGTTTGGGGTTCCAAGTCAATTGGAAACGACCTTGCAGGTTCTAAGACTTGTAGTACCCTGTTATGATAGAAGGCCAGCCACAGAATGAAGACGTGGTATACTTCTAGGTTGTAACCTTATGATATAGTCCATCTAGATATTGAGAGCTGGAGTACGCTTCGCTCCCCGATTTCGTCGAAGTTACGAATATGATCTACCTAGAAAAGAATTTAACGGCACTAAATCGAAGCAATATTTGAGTACCTAGCTTACTTGAATACATAGGTAAGTAGGAGATCCTGAAGGATAAAGCTTTCGAGCTGAACTATTTCAGCCATGTAGACCAAGTATGAAAGATACTCGGAACTTTCTGCCGTTCGTGCGAAAGAGGTACACCTATCTGAGTTAGTTTCAAGCCATCTATATTCGACATTATGAACAGTTGATCCAATTAAAGGTTCATAGATCTAAATACGACGCCCGTTCAATAAGCAATAAGACCAGACTCCAGATTTAAGACAAATTGCAAGCGATCGACACAACTAAATCCACAAAATGAAAGGGGAAACTTCCTATTTAGGCAACCAACCTGAGCCACCACCAATGCCGCGCGCAATAGCGACTTCAAATGTCTTTGCTTCTTATGCAGTATGCGGGCCGTAGAGATTTATGGCCATAAGGGGTACTATCATCACCATATAACTCGTGGTTGTATCGGCCATAGCCTGTTACCACGAGAAGCAAGCAGCAAGCGTCAAAACTACCGTAAGCCACAGCTAACTTCTATCATAATAATCGATTTGACTCTTATCTAATTTGCATGATTATTGTCTTAGAAAAAGATAGTAGCATCCCTTGACTCGGCTTTGTTGGGGTCATGGTTTGGCCATCGATTGGTGTACCTGGTCATGCTTCCCGGCCGGTATTCGTTAGTTAAGCCTGAAATACATATTTTGAGTTATGAATATGCCAATACATATCCCGAGTCTATTCCCACATATATATTGAAAGAGGCCGAATTTAGATTATCTTACAACTGAGATATACAGCGGGAATAACTATTGCTTGGTCGTGCTCACTCTATAATAACAACTAATTCTTTTCAATTTAGCTCGCTAAATTAATAAAACGTTAAACTCAAAGGCACTGTCTCCATGGCTCAGTAGCGAAATCTAAGTTCAAGTAGTTAGTTGGTGGGATGATATATTTTTGACATAAGAAATACTCAACTGGACACACGTAGGTTGATAGATATGGATGGTATCAGTTTTATTAGTTGTAAACTGAGTATTTGTTCTTTCGTGTTATGAGATTTCTAACCAAACAGTAATAATAGACACTGTGGTACGATCAGTTTGCACTTTGATATAAAAGCCTAACTAGATAACTACTACGTACCTAAACTATGCACGTTTACTGGAGAGCTTTCGAACAGCACGACATATGTAGGCTTTCATAGAAGGAACAATGGGCATACGTCTCGTTGCATGATAGCAAGATTACTCATGACAAATGAAAAAGAATACCTAGCTAGTAACTATCCGGAATATCATACATTTAAATTCGCTTTGGAGGAAATCTCGAGATTTATTGAAGTTCCTCTCGTAGGTAAAATACTTATAAAGCACCCCCCTCATACTCGGACTATAAGATAAAGAATAAGGAAACTATAATACAACTATATACACTCAATTACGGGGTCTATCAACACGTTGTGGGGATATAGAAATTAGGAACACTTGGATAGATCTAACTTTAACGTATAGCTTCCTGTATTGCGTCGAGAGATCCCTTTAGTTTTGTTGCTTAGTCGGTTGTAGTCGTAACTACAATTTGCTTTATGAATTATCAACTCTACCATTCTGGGTTATAGGTATACATATGTTTAATCCCTAACATCTTATGGTAATCCCGGGACGAGCCGTAAAGACCCAACATTCGAGAACGTAAACTAAATTAAATGTTTATGACCAGTTGCCATTCTAAGTGCCTGGGTACTTGTAAGATATTATATCATTAATTTCTTATATTAACTCGGAAACTACAACTATATTTGACTATTTTAATTAAGTTAATAACTATAATGGCTTGTGTAAACTTGGTGTTGTATTTTAATCTCCTAAGAGTGGAAGTTCTGTATTATGACTGGTGTTAGAAGTAAACAACTTTTATGAGCATTTTATGAACTATCATTAGCACTGTTTATTCAGGCGTTTAAAAACATCGGGTTGGGCAATACAGTATATTTACAAGCGATAGATATGGGATGATTATAATGGAGATAGAAACCTTATACATAGACCCCTAACTTTTGTAGAGAGCTAGGATCTAGATAAGCCCCACACTCACCGATAAGCATATGCCCCGCCAAAAAAGTCATTTAGCATTAAGCTTGCCGACTTTATAATGCGGGCGAATTTCTACATTGAACTTAACCAATCCTTTTCGCAGAGGGAACTATTCAACAATATCCTCGTAAAATGAGCTGACTCATATATCCCCTTAATTCCTTCCATATGAAAGAACCGAGCTACAATGGCAGAAATGGAAATTGACACGGAGGCCTCGAAGCCTGAAGCGATCGAAGTCGACAGCGAGAACGACAACGACGCCGACCCCATAATCGCCAGCTACGACATCTACGCGAACCCCCCCCTCCCCGAGAACCGCAAGCTGCTCGTTCTGCAGCACCCGAATAGACAGGGTCCCGTGCGCGCCCCGTACAAGCAGATCAGCGAGGTGCGCGTCAAGAACAAAGCCGGCTTCATCGAGGTCGACGTGCCGATGAGTCATGGCCACGCCGACTACGACCGCGACAAGGGGCTGCGCTGGGGCAGCGCCCTGGCGCGCAGCACCGCAGCCAAGAACGGCGGTTCCCACGGTCTCGCCGGCGGCTTCGGTGTCGGCGTCCCTGCTAGAGGCGCAGCGGCTGGAGGGGGCCGCGGCGCAGCTGGAAAGCGCCCGGACGACTTGGAGCGGGAGCTCAGCATGCTCGATTGGAGCGAGGCTGTGCGCCAGGACAAGGTTCTTAGGACGCAGACCCTGGGCGGCCAGTTCGCGATCGAGAAGGAGACGAATTGCAGATGGATGGTCGGCGTTTTCAAAGGAGGTGTGTGTCAATTTGTCTACCGGATGCACTGCACGCTTGCGACTAACAGGAGTTTGAATATCAGATCAATTACATCTCACCCCCGTCTCATCTTTAATCCACCTGCGCCCGCAATTACACCACCTCGATGCCTACACCGAACAGGAACGCCTAAGCCGCCCGCGCGAGGGCATGGTGGCACCAGGCCCGGCCGCGGGGACAGGTAAAGAAAGCAGCGCGACAGGCAGTGGAACACAAGGAGGTTCTGGCGCGGCCAAGGCGATCCACATGTCAATTAAGAGTGCGGGGGGCACTGAGAACGGGGAGCTGGTAGTGGACACGATGATCGAACGCCTGCGTAAGGTCCAGATCGAGCCGTGGTCCAAGCTCAAATACGAGGACGAAGACAGCGATAAAGCTTGGCACATGTTCACCAACCATCTTTTATACCCGGGAGCGGCTAATCCCAAATCCCTGGCGGACGCGAAGGGCAAGGGGAAAGAGAATGAGACGGTGAAACCCAGCACAGCAGAAGAGGACGTGTCGAAGGACAAGTTCAAAGCACAGTGGAGCGAGGAAGAATTCCTATCCCATATTCGAGGCCCTTGATAATACAAGGGGGACGCAAAAACGTTTCCAGTTACGTGTTGTATTATGACCAACAGTAGCTTGAAGAATGGCTGATGGAGAGGCAGAGATGCGAAGCCCGAAGGCAATGTGGACGTCGGAGTTCAAGAGCCTAAGGTTAAGGCGATTGTTTAATAAGGTACCTCGTATGGAAGTCGGGAAGCCACGACTATTAAGCCGACTAATACGTCTGCAACCGGGAGAGGTGTAAGGGGTAAACCTGTAGGTTAGGTTATATTGCATTGCTCGGCGTCAACAACTGATTTTCTGGCGCACTTGGTACTTGTATAGGCTTTAACAATAGCTCAGAATTATTGCATGCAATACAAACGACTCAACTACCTATGCACATCTGTAGGACTTAGCACCAACGTATAACAGTATCACGAAGGCCTGAATAGGACCCGGAACTTGACTGTTGCTATGGCACAAAATATAGGCATTAGATGCCTCATCCTTACCATGCAACTATCTATGCACACACACTCCCTGCAGGAGTCTAGAACCATCGTCCACAAAATTGGCCCGCTTCATCTCCAGACCTCATCGCTAAGCCAATTCGGGTATCATGAACTCGTGAGAATTCGGATAGATTTCACCGTTCGTTACCCATATACCGAGCGCCAAATGCTCACCCATCTATTAGAAGCCCTTCGCAAGACCTTCTTCGCGTCTCATTAAGCCGCATAAAGCAGCGGCGTTGAATAACCACATCCAGCGCCCGCCTTCCAAGTCTTCCTCGGCCAAACAAACCGACGATAAATCTGGATGAGACTATACAGTAAGTCGAGATGACTATCGCAATGTTCGGTCTAGTTGTTCAACAATTCCACGTCAAGACCGATAGATCGCATAAACAGGTTGACGTTGTCCAAGCGAGTCTTTGCCATGTCTGCGGGAAGAGTCTTAGATAGATTGACAGTATCCATGACACGGTCTTTGACGGCAAGGACGAGGCGTTGCTGTTCCTCTGGGCTGGCTCCTATGCCAATGGCAGCAAGGAATTGCCACACATAAATATCCTCTCCAGATGCCACAGTGCCTGGGAAGATGTTGGGAA